CCTTGTTATCTCTCCTCCGGTGCAAATGTGTTGTTCCCTGCAAAACCACAAATTGTTGGCAATTATGCTTCAGATTCAGGATGTCATGACAGATGTTATATAAATGGAATTGATATTATTTTTTAACAAATAATGTCTACTTTGGCAGGAAGAATAAAACAAACTAATGTTTTCTTAATAGTGAAAGTTTCACAGAGTGCTGAGATGAAATTAATACTTGGAATGAGTGTGTTATTTTATGAGGAAAAGTTGAATAGGCTAGGCTCTGTTTAAGTTTAGAAAATTAACAGGCAACTTGATTGAGATATATACAATCCTAAGGAGTCTTGAGAGGTTAGATGTGTAGAGGATGTCTCCTCTTATGTAAGAATCTAGACTAAAGGTCTCTGTTTTAGAACCAGGAGTCACACATTTAAAACAAGACAAGGCATTTTTCTTCTTTCACATTGTTATGAATCTTTAGAACTCTCTTCCTGACAAGTTGGTGGAAGTAGGGTCCTTAAATATTATTTAGGCAGAAGTAGGTAGATCCTTGTTCAGAAAAAGGGTAAAAATTTATCAGGGATAGGTGAGAATGCAGATTTGAGATTATAATCAGACCCACAATGAACCAATTGAATGGTGGAGTAGGTTTGAGGAGCTGAATGGCCTACTCCTGCTCCTTGTTCATATGTTTGGACACAAGTTTTATAATTGGTCGACCATTTAACTCCATTTATAAACACAGAAACTGTGGTAAGTTAACTGGAAAACACAGACTTATTGTGATTATTATCTATAACTATATGGCGATGGCCTAGTGGTATTATCACGGAACTGTTAATCCAGAGACCCAGATAATGTTCTGGGGACCTGGGTTCAAATCCCGCCACAGCAGATGGTGGAACTTGAATTCAATAAAATATCTGGAATTAGGAATATAATGATGACCATGAATCTATTGTTGAATGTCGGAAAAACCCATCTGGTTCACTAATGTCCTTTAGGGATGGAAAATGCCATCCTTACCTGGTCTGGCCTACAAGTGACTCCAGACCCACAGCAATGTGGTTGACTCTTAACTGCCCTCTGGGCAATTGGGAATGGGCAATTAATGCTGCCTAGCCAGTGATGCCCTTATCCCATGAATGAATAAAGGATATGTTTGTTTTGTCATTGAATAAAAGGTCTACACTTGGGTATCTGTCACACATTTCTTAAAGCCTGGATAAGGTGCAGTTTAGATGTAAGCTTTGAAGAAAATCACATGGCCACAATCTCTGACAGAATGCTTCGTCTATAAGGATTTGAATGCAGAGGTAAAGAAATTGCTTGGAAAATAAAGGGATCCCTATCTTGCCAATAGCTATTCTCTTCATTACCTGATGGTATGCTCCTATTATTTTCCGTGCTTCCTGATACAGGGTCTCTCCACTCCAGTGTGGATTTAGTTGGTGCAGTTCTGAGGCTATTCGATTGTGCTCTCGTAAGAAGATTGTGTGCAGTACCTGCATCCCTAAATGTTCGTTTGCTCGGGAATCTCCTGCAAGACAAAACATGTTCTTCAAATTCTCAATGTGGAGGTACCAGGGTTGGACTGGGGTGGACAAGGTCAGAAGTCATGTCACACCAGGTTATAGCCAACAGGTTTATTTGAAAACATAATCTTTCAGAGTGTAAAACCCTTCATCAGGTGAAGTGAGGTGATGAAGTGGCTACGCTCCGAAAGCTTGTGTTTTCAAATAAACTGTTGGACTATAACCTGGTATCATGCGACTTCTGACTTTATTCAAGTTCTCAGGTGTTGGACAAACTGGCCAGTCTTGCTGCAGTGTGACTATTTTATTGCTACAGAAACGGGCCATAATAGTTACTGAAATAACCTTTGTTCCTCCTATCCTGGTACCAGTTCCTCAAATGGGAAGTATTCAATTTTTTAGCATTAAAATTCACATATTTTAATGTGTAAAAATATATTTATAAATAAAAAATTCTTTGGGCCTTTTTCAGGTCTACAGGCTTGAAGATATTAGGCTAACTCCGCTATTAATGAATTCAGGGTAACTAATGTCTCACAGTGGGTTGTTAGTTTATAAAGAACTGGTTTTAACTCCAATCTGGACCAGTCTGACTGATAGAACTGTCTGTCTCTTCCATTGTTCCTTCTGAAATGTAATGTTGTCAGAGGGGTCAGCTATTATTTTGTATACTGTTGGCATGCTAATCTTCTCTTCCTGTTTTTTTCTGACATTAATGCTTTCCTGGAATATGGGAAGTTTGTTTAGCCAGAAAGGACCCAAAGCCTCAAATCCAGAAGTCTCTTCCCCAAAACTGAGCAAACACCATTTTAGCTGGGGATGGGGAGGGGAGGGTAATTGGGCAGGACATATTTCACACCTCCTCAGTGGTACATGGAAGCAACAGCACATTTATAGGTGCACCTGCTTTCAAACAGAAGCAATTTTCATTCTTGGGATTTCCAAAACATGGCATGTGGGCTCTTGGCATTTGAGAAAAAGATCTGAACATAGCAGAGTTCTTTGGAAAGGCAAGGCCCTCCTTTTTGGGAATGTCAGTTGCCTCTTTGGGAGCGATCAGCATCCTTTGCAATTTTTAAAAGAAGACATGAACATGCATATTAAATGGATAATTTCTGTAGATTTGTTACACTTTCACGTAACTAAAATCCCTCAAACTCTGTTTGAAGAAAGGAAACTATCCAATCTGCAGTTGAAAAGAAATGCGTTTGCCTTTTTCACTATTTGGTGACATCAGGATTAGTGCTGCTGGACGCACAATCCACAGTCTCTATTATTTTCAGAATGAGTTCAGGTTGATAGTTCGACATGGTTATGAAGAGATTAGCAATATTTCAATGAATGCAATTTTCGGGTTTTGTAAATCATAGAGTCGTACAGCACAGAAACAGACCCTTCAGTCCATCCAGTCCATGCTGAACATAATCCCAAATTAAACTAGACCCATCTGCCTGCTCCTGGCCCATATCTCTTCAAACCTTTCCTATTCATGTATCTATCCAAAGGTCTTTTAAACATTGTAATTGTACCTGCATCCACTAATTCCTCAGGGCATTCATTCCACACGCGAACCACCCTCTGTATGATTACGTACTTGAAGGGATTTAAATGTATTGAATGGGCTTTATTAATGATTGTGTTTCTATTAAAATATAATGAATTCTATAATAGATACTTAAAACATTATTGTATTTTATCTCATCATGGGTTCCTGAGCTCTGCCCTTTGTGGCTATGGAATGGAAGATGTAACTGCAAATGGTGGTGGGTGGGATTATAGCTTGCCATGTATTAGTACGAATGGTCATGGCATGTGTATGTACATGGGTGTGAGGGGTAAGAACTGGTTTTAGATCAACTTCTATTTTTTACAATTGGAATAAAATCTCATTTGATCTTGGACTTGTGGCTACTTCTGTATTCTTTCCAGTGGTGATGAGCCCAATTCCAGTTAACTGTCCTGTCTGGAGCGAAAATCCTCTCTGAACACTTCTGGCTGAATTGAGTCTGTGACGTCAGGAATTTTTCTGACTGTACGATCCCAATTCAGGAGTGAAAGTGTGGCCCTAACACTGGGCAGAATTTTCACTGTGAACTTTTGCTAAGACTTACAGGCAACTGCAGTCCTCTCTTAATCTGACATCCACACGTGATTGTCCCAAAGGAGATCACTGATCGGGCACAGGATTGATTTTTTGTTCCGTTCTTACCTTCAGGGACAAGTCAATTGTAGCACTTCAACAGGAATTCCAAATCTGACCAGATAACTTGGTGCAGATTAGGTCATGGATTAGGGTGTTCTCAGCTTTAAGGACGAATTTTACACATTACATTTATCTACCAATGTTTATAAGAGTTCAGTGTAGGGGTTTAATTACTTAGTCACTAGACCAAGTGGCACTCAGGCACCTGGTTTAAATACAGAATCTTGGTAAAAATTTAACAAGTCATTCTTCAAAAAAGTGTGCACAAAGATAATAATAAAATAGGACTTTTGAGTAGATGTCAGCAGTTAGAGTATAAGAGTAGCCTAGGGACAAATGCAGCAGGAGGTAGGGCCAAAGATAGTATTAGGCAAAATAAATGCTTGTCAGATACCATCATTAGTGAGGGACTCACAGCACCATGAGAAAGGGATGGTCTACACTACAGAGATAGTAGGAACTGCAGATGCTGGAGAATCTGAGATAACAAGGTGTAGAGCTGGATGAACACAGGAGCCAAGCAGCATCATAGAGATCTGTGACCACCCAGGGTACACAGCAAACGGCTGAGACAAAAGCCTATTGATTACAAAGGTACTGCTTAATTATTAAACAATGGGAAGTAAAGAACAGAACCAGTTACCATTATACACTGGAGTTTAGGGAGGTGTACAATCTCATCTCCTGTGTTTTGGCATCAGTTAGTCCTATTGTTATCGAGCAAAAGCCTTTCCTAGAGATTTGAAGGGTGAAATTTTGTCCCCTAGCCTCTACAGCCAGAGTGCAAACTGGTTGTGATGATAGTACTTAAGGAAAGGAAAGAAACAGGAGATGCAACTTTGCATTTAGATTAAGTAAAAAAACTGCCAATATTTGCCAAATGTTGAAAGAACATTCAATTAGCAGCAATAGCACAGCATGCATTTAAATATGTTTGAAGATTGAAGGCACTCAGTCAGAAATACATTCAAAATGATGAATTATTGCTTCTTGTACATGACACCTGGCAGGTGTAAAATACATGAAAAGACTCTGGTCCAAGTTCAAAGACCTTTCTCTACTTCTAGTCCCTTTCTCTTTCACAGTATAATGATAAATTTGTGGCATTTACACCTTGATATTGTTTTACCTGCCAGAAAACAAGCAATATTTGACTTGTTTGTGTTGAGAGACTGGTCTCTGGTCAGTTCACAGGGACTTTGAAGTGTTTTGCTCATGAAGGGCAGGTAGGCCAGGCCATCATCAGAGTATTCCTGGTTCACGGCTAGGTATCCGAGATCATTGGTAAGATTCCTCAGTTTCCGTGCCAGGGAGTCTGTGCTCCCGTAAACCATGCTGGCATCCACAAAGGAAGTGATACCGTTTATTTGTTCCCTGGGATGGAGCTGTCCTGAGAAGACACCGGACTTGCCACTCCCACATGCTGGAGCTGAACGGAAGAAGGGCATGCATTTCTCCCTTTCGTAGGCACGTGGGTCACCATCAGGGATCTGAGAAACAGCAAGATTTACTCAATGGAAATTGGATATTATTTGAAATGTTACATTCGGTGTGCATCAATGATGTGGAACAGAGACTTGCCTGTATTGGGAAGCATGGGCCTCCATTGTGACACGATGATGTACAGTCACTGCTGTCGAAAAAGGAAGAGGAACTGGCAGTTTGAGGTGTCAGGTCCATATCATGGTCAATCCACTGTCCCCACTCCACCAGTATGTGAGCATACCTACTGTCCAGAGAAATGTTCTCATTGCAGGTGTACAGGATTGCAGTTGATACTGTCCTGGCCTGGAAATAACCAATGCAACGGTGAAGCTCAGAAAGCTCTCTCATTACTGTTACAGCTTGACCAACTGTACACAGCTACCCTGTCTCAGTGTGCCCCACTACATACCAGTGGTAAGGGGAACCTGTTATATTCTTTGTCTTTGACCCATCCTTTCGGAAGTGAGAATCCATCATCGTATTCTGGCGGTAGCCATCGCGTATATGGGACATTAGCTGCTCCCCACCAGGAATGCTGTCTATGTTCAGAGAAAGTACAACAAAATCGTCATTTATTATTGGTGAGCAAACATTTGAAGAATTGTAAAAGGGGGGTAGACAAAATGGTAATGTTGACTTCAAACAATCCATTGGAACAAGCTGCATTTGTGAGGTAAATCGTAGCACATCTATTAATGGGGCAAATATATACCTACTAATAAGAGATATTGTGAAATCTTAGTTTGTAAAAGCAAGGGTATAACATTAATGACACCTAAGCAACCGAAAGTCAGTAAGACAATTTCTAATCAAACATGTATCAGGCCAGATCTCCAGAGTGCAGATCAGATTCTACAAGATTCCACTGGCAGTAAGCAATTGCCAAAACCCTAGTGAAGAGACCTGCATAGCTAATGTATTGTGTGCTATAGACTGTGGTGAAGATAATGGTTCATATACAGGAGACTGTTCTGTTAGACAGCTTCTCAGAGGATATCCATCCATGGATGTAGAAGCTATTCCAGGTTTACTAAGAGGTATCCAACTGAAAGAAGTAATAGGGACACTGTGTACCACATTTTCTCTCTGTAAATTTACTTGTGTTGGTGGACAATCCATGGTCTCCTTTTTGAGGAGACAGAAGTGAATTTACTCGGTGCATTTCCAATCCCATACACACTTTATACCCTGTCAGTTCCGGGTCTTTTAATAACCCTTTAATTGCACGATTGTGAAGAAAATAAGAAAGAAAACAGCTTGCATCTTATCATTACTTTCCTGTTTTCAAAATGTCCCAAAGTATTCTTTGAAAAGAGGGAATACAGCCAAAAGATAGCTACATATCTAAATTCTATAGACAAACCCTGAAATGTACCTAAAAGGGTGAATAAAGCTACGGAGACACATGCATTACAAACTGAACTGTAGTCTTCTGTGAGTATCTCAGGCTGTGAACATGATGGTAGAAAAGACAACAGTCTGGGAAGGAGACAAGTTTGTGTTTGCTCCTTTCAAGAATGCACAAAGATGGGTTAAAAGTGAGTTTTGACCATGATCCGTTTGTGCTAGTGAGCTGAGGTGCTCGTGTGTGCCAGTGGGCTGAGTTTTTGGTGCACTCACTTGAGTTCAAGTGCCCATGTGCTGGGAAAGTCACAGTCAAAGAGCTATCCACTAGTCACCTCTGCACTGCAGGTAAAAGATTTCCTCACCCTGGAATGCTGGAAGCTAGTCAGCAAGCCAGTTCAAAAGAGAACAGGACAAGGCAATTTCAGTTAACCTGAAAAGGCAGGAATCTACAAATCCATTGTTCAACTGTGTTCTACTATGTACTGATTACAAATAGACCAGAGGCTGATCTGTGTATCTTATTAACTTTTGTCTTTTTTAGATTCTTATTTCTAATCTATAAGTACGTGTTGTATTATTATTTATTCCCCCATTTAGGAACTAATTATTTAGTTAATTTAGAAAGCTGGGGTAAATTGGCTTTTTTTAAAACATAAATTGATCTGGTCTAGGAGACGGGTATCTACAAGTGAAGGGATCCTTTTTAATTAACATTGTTGTGGCTGGCCAAGGAGACGGGCGAATAAAGAAAGGGAACCAGGTCATTGCTCCTATTCCAGGAATTTGACAATTTGATGTATACCATCTGGAACCATTATAACCTGGGGAACCTCATCTGCAGATTGTTCATAATGCTTCTGTCAATTAATTCTTTCAGAAGTTTTATGCAAATTTGGCAGTCGATTTGAACACAGAGTGGTCTTGCTAACTACAGCGAGAAGGATAACCAATGATTCTACTTTGATGGTGGATAAGGGATGAATGGACACTTGGAGAAACCCTCAATCTTCTTGGAGAAAGGCCCATGGTGGTTCTTTTATAATGTTGACGGAGAGAGCCTCAGTTTAGCATTTCACCAATACGGTGAATCCTCTGATAATACGTCAATCCTGTAGTCCTGTGCTGGGGTCAGCAGATAGCACTTACCTGAAAACTTGCTTTGGAATCAAAATTTTTGAGTTGCTTTCCTTGAAATAAATCAGGTGAGGACTCCAGACATAACAATTGCAAAGGGAAATGCAAGACAGCTATCTCCTCACCGGCTCTTCGAACCTAAGCTTGGTGTCACCTCAACAATACATCTTCATCTCTCCTGCTCTCATCAAACCTGCTGGTATCTTGTGCCATTGACTTTCAACTAAGACCATTAGTCTTGGCTGCTTCTTCTTAAGTTAGTGGACTGTCCTTGCAACAGACAGATTTGCTAAAACCATCAACATACTTATTCCAGTGGCTACAGTACCTGTTATTGCAGATGCCAGTAATGGTTCGATATTTGTTGAGAAGGCAGGAACTGGAGCAAGTCACCGACCGCAACTGACTAGTGCAACCTGTTGCATCAGCCAGCACCTGAAGATCAAGCTTGCTGAGCAGATCTGCAAGGGACAAAACACTGTTTCGATCAGAGAGTGTAAAGTGTGATCTCGGCCAGGGAAATAGCAAGATGTTTGAAGTTTCTTTCTCTGTTAATTGCAAGCCCCCTTCCCCACCAAAGGCACTGACTCATATTTAAAATCTCTCACCTTGGTCGAGTGATCATTCTTCTCATATGGATTGAGACGGGAGATTTGGGAAACTTTTCCGTCTTTCAGGGCATCAGAGCTAAGCCCCATTCCTGCACTCATCTGATGTCCACATGTACATTTTCTAACAGAGCTTCAGGAGATGTGAACCTGTCTGCTTTCCCCCATTTTAGGGGCACAGAGATCAAACATTGTATCCCAAGGGCCATAGATAACTGGTAGAGAAAGGGGTTGGGGGCCATGGTCCTTTCACCAGTACATCTGCTATCCACTGAGATATTAGAATAATTAATATGGAATTGCACTAAGTCAAAGATCAGGAGTAAACAACGAACATAGCAAGCGAGACTTTGATTTGGACTAATGTTTTCCCCTTTAACAATGAGCAGATTCCCAGTTCCAGCAGCTAATACTTCAGTGGGTAAAATCAGCTGGATGAATGCCTGACTAAAACTGAGGTTAAGGGTTATATCTGAAACTATTACTTTACAGTTTTCATAAGAAAAAAGACAAAATGTACTTCTCAAAACATCGATAAAAGCCTTGCTGTCTCATATACTGAAAATGAAGGTCAGTTATGCAGTCATATTTAGACCAATGATTTTTAAACAATGGATTTGGTGATATTTGTGTTGCTAAAAATGTGGTGCCAAGGAAAGTATCTGATCTTTAGCAGCACAATATAACATGAATACAAATCTTCAATTTTGTCAAGAAACAAAAATCACAGAATGTTTCTTTCAGAGATTAAATGGATGGCTAACTGAATTGATTCTATCATCAGCTGGACAGAACACACCCCTCCAAATCCATGACTATTATAACCTAGTAGGACACAATCTCCTGCAAGCTCCCCTCCAAAGCACACTCATCCTGACTTAGAGCCTTCATCATCACTGGGTCAAAATCCTGAAATTCTTTCCTAACAGTACTGTAGATAGGTGTACCAACATTACATGGACTGTAGTGGTTTGTCATGTAATGTAATTGTTCCAAAGAGGTTGATGTTCATATTACATTTGCTCCTGTAAATTAAAGGAAAATCCTCATAATCCCACACACTCATTAGCGATGACTGCTAGCAGTTTACTCTGAGGGTATTCATACCTCAGGGAAAAAGGTGAGGTTGAGAAGGTCGGACATTCGTGACAATCTCAGCTGGTATGGGAATTCAGCCTGCATTGCAGGCATCACTCTGCGTTGCAAACCAGCCATCCAGTCAACAGAGGTTACCACACCCACAATCTATTGCTCCAAACAATCTAGTGATAGTCACAGTCTGTGAGTGGAGACAAGTCATTCCACTCTAAATTTCAGAGGGAAATGTATCTGTAACAGCTCTTAAAGTCCTAATAATTATGCCTGACTAAATGTAATTGTACTTATTGATATCTTGCAAGATAATTTACTTACATGATTGTATAATGGATTAACTAAGAGGAAAGAAATTTTGGAGATACTGCATGAGGTTATTGTTCTGAAGGGGTGATTGTTCTTGTTAAATTGGCTCCAATATTCCACTGATGTTACACAACGTATGGGTGAAGACAAGGTGTTCTTCTCTAGCTCTTGGAGTGAGCTGAGTACTTTTGCCTGACCAAATGTACTTGTAATTATTGCTATCATGCAATATATGACTTGGTATCTAAGAAAAGTAGTCATTGCCTGTGCTTTTCTACAGTAAGTAGACCATGCTCTAACAGCCTATTGTATAGTCATGTAAGAGACTTTAAAAAAGATATCAATCTAACTGTTGATTAACTAATACACAACATTGCAAGTAGAGGCCTAATCAAGAAATTACACAAAGAATCCAAACTTGATTTTTTTTTAACAGCAATATCTCCTAGTTTTCAATAATAAAACTAAGAACTGTAGATGCTGGAGATGTAAACAAAACCAGAAAGTGCTGGAGAAACTCAACAGGGGTGGCAGCATCTGTGGAGAGAAAAACAGAATTAATGTTTTGAGTCCAGTGACCCTTTGTCAAAACTGCTCCTGTTTTCTATTTGCTTTCATGATAGCCTTATAATATCCTTGTAATAGCCTTGTACTTTTAAGAACTCATTCATCATAACACCTCGGTGTCCTTGCTGCAAAGATTGTAGTGTAGAGCCCTTGGGGGTGGCTGTTGTACTGTATGTGAGCTCACAGCAGGTAGTCATCATTAAACAAACTTTATTTACACATCCCCAGCAGAGAGCTCAGTATAACAAAATACTCCATTATTACAATATATTACAGTTAGGTCAGTCTTGTGTGATACTACATTTAACCATATGAAATACCAGCTTTTAGATGTGGGCCTAGTCCCCTATTATATCTAGATATGATTGTTGTCCTCCTTTCTCTCTTATAGGGTTCTAAATTTGCCAAAATTTTTGAGTTACAATAAGAAGGTCACGAATGACGTTATCAGAATGCGATGCAAAATAAGACTGATTCTAATGTCTGCTCCCCAGTCCTTCTCTGCTTCTGTCTTCCACGTGGGATTTCTTGCTATTTTGTAAAATGCAGCAGGATACTTAATTTTAAAGGTGTTATCTAAAAATAAGTTGTTTTTGTTTACCTGTTACATTCCTGAATATCTTCTCCTGGGTGTAAACCATCTGCCGAATGAGTTCCATGGCAGTTTCCATCAACTCAGCTGCTCTCACTGCCATGCGAGTCTCTGCTACTGGATGTTTGAAGAAGCTGAGCAGGTCATTGGCACTAATGAAGCCTTCAGCCAGCACTGCTTTACTCCTAGAAATCAAAGAACACACCTTAGAGCAATGAAACAAAAGCAGAAAACATTGGAGAAACTCAGTAGGTCTGGTAGCGTCTGTAGGGAGAAAAACAAAGTTAGAATTTCGAGTCCAGTGACCATTCGTAAGAACTGGGCTTCTGACCAGTTCAATTCTGATGAAGAGTCACTGGGCTCGAAACGTTAACTGTTTTCTCTCTACAAATGCTGCCAGGCCTGCTGAGTTTCTCTAACACTTTCTGTTTTTGTTTCAGATCTCCAATATCTGCAGTTCTTTGTTTTATCTTAGAGTAATGAGTAGTTTACACTTGGTAGTGTAAATCTTTTATGAACCCTCTGCGAATTCCCCAATAGAAGATATAGTAAGTAGGGAGATAAAATGTATAAATCAGTTGCAGGAGTTTGATGCATCATCCTGTCAAACCTCCAGCCCTTTATTTGAAGTTAGTTGCAGAGAAGAAAATGTCAACGCTCCCTAACTCCCAGCTCAGACAGTTCTCAGTAATGACATGACGCATTTGCTATTTTGGCCACTAGAAGCTGCACAATCTACTTTGGCTTTGGCCAAATGACAATTTGGGAAGTTTTGGCCACTTTCTGATGCCATTGTACAGCCAATCAGAAATCATCTGAGGCATCATTTTAAGAATCTCCACTTGACAATGGTTCCAAAAACATTCAAGGTAGCTTGGGAAAGGGTAAGTCCTCTCAAGGACAAAGGAAGGAACTTATGCATTGAGCCAGAGGAAGTGGGTGAAGGTCCTTAATGTGTACTTTGTACTGGTATTCACCAAGGAGAAGGAAATAGATGACGGTAAGATTAGGGAGGGGTATGCTGATATTCTGGGGTATGTCAATATTAAGGAGGAGGTGGTGTTGGGTGTCTGGAAAAATATTAAGGTAAGTAAGTCCCCAGGGCCTGATGGGATATATCCCAGGATACTGAAGGAGGCAAGGGAGGAGATTGCTGGGGACTTCAGAGATCTTTGTGTCCTCTTTAGCCACAGGTCAGGTCCCAGAAGACTGGAGAATAGCCAACATTGTTCCTTTGTTTAAGAAGGCAACAAGCGTGATCCAGGAAATTATAGGGTCATGAGCCTTACATCAATGGTCGGGAAATTATTGGAGAAGATTCTTAGGGACAGGATTTACTTGCATTTGGAAAAGAATAGACTTACTAGAGATATTCAGCATGGCTTTGTGTTGGGAAGATCTTGTCTCACAAATTTGATTGAGAATTTTGAGAAAGTGACCAAGATATTTGATGAGGACAGGGTAGTGGGGTTTTCTCCACGGGATTTACTGAAACATTTGACAAGGTCTGTTGTGGTAGTCTGATCCAATCAGATGGGAAGAGAACGTTATCAAAGGACACAGCCGGATATAGATCAGTTGGAAAGTTTGACGGAGAAATGTCAGATGGTCTTTAATCTGGATAAGTATGAGGTGATGCTTCTTGGGAGATCAAATGTATGATGAAAGTATACAGGAAATGGCAGAAGCCTTGGGAGCATTGATATACAAAGGGAGTCCATAGCTCCCTGAAAATGGCAACATAAGTGGATAAGGGGATAAAGAAAGCGTATGGCATGCTTCCCTTCGTCAGTTGAAACACTGAGTATAAATGTTGGTAAGTCATGTTGCAGCTATATAAAACTTAACTTAGGCCACATTTGGAGAATATTGGCCACACTTAGTCGCTACACTATCAGATGTGTGTGGATACTTTGGAGAGGGTACAAAAGAGGATTACCAGGATTTTGTCTGGATTGGAGTGTATTAGCTATAAAGAGAAGTTGGATAAACTTGGATTGTTTTCGCTAGAGCATCGAGGCAGAGGGGCGATCTGGTAGAAGTATATAAAATGGGAGGAATTGACAGGGTAGATAGTCGGAGTCTTTTTCCCAGGGTTGAAATGTCAAATACAAGGGGGCAGAGACTTAGGGTGAGAGGGGGAAAAGTTTAAAGGAGATGTGTGAGGCAAGGTTTTTATACATAGAGATGTAGGTGCCTGGAATGTGCTGCCTGAGGAGGTGGTAGAAGCAGATATATTAGCAAAGTTTGAGATTTAGAGAGACACCAATGAACAGGCAGGGAATAAAGGGATATGGACCATGTGCAGGCAGATAGGATTAGTTTAGACTGGCATCCTGGTCAGCACAGACAGAGTGGGCTGAAGGGCCTATTCTTGTGCTGTGCTGTTCTATGTTCCTCAGCTCAACATCAAGGACAAAGGAACACACTTGATTAGAACCACAAGCACCACCTTAAACCTTCACTGTCTCCACCACAGACGCACAGTGACAGTAGTATGTATCATCCTCGAGATGCAGTGCAGCAACTTGCCAAGGCTTCCTTGACAGTGCCTTCCAAACCTATGACCTAGTAGATCAAGGACAACAGATAAATGAGAACATTATAGACCTCAAGTTCCACTCCAAGTCTCATGCCGCTCTGATTTGGACCCATACATTTGTTCCTTCATTGTCACTGCTCCAGAGGCCTGGAGTTCCCTTCCTAACAGCACTCCGGATGTACCCACACAGAATGGCCTGCAGTCAAAAAAAACAGCTCACCACCACTTTCTCAAGGAAAAGTAGCGATGGTTAACAAATACTGGTGTAGCCAGAGATGCCCACAAACTTAGAGAGAATTTCAAAAAGCTGGATAACTCTTTAACAGAAAGAATGTCAATCTGGAAAATTCCTCAGGGAAATTTTAGCCCTATTTTCATTTTTTAAAATTTGTTCATGTAGACATTACATTTATTGCCTTTCCTAGTTGCCTCTGAGAAGGTGGTGGTGAGCTGCCTCCTTTACTGCTGCAGTGTATTTGCTGTAGGTATTTGGGACAAAATGGCATTAGCAAGGGAGTTCCAGGATTTTGATGCAGTGACAGCGAAAGACTGGTGATATATTTCCAAGTCAGGATAGTGAGTGTCTTGGAATGGAACGTACAGGGGTGGTATTCCCATGTATCTGTTGCCTTTGTCCTTCTAAATGGAAGTGGTTATGGGTGTGGAAGGTGTTGTCTAAGGAGTCTTGGTGAATTTTGGCAGTGTGTCTTAGAAATGATACACACTGATGATACTGTGCATCGATGGTGGAGGCAGAAAGTGTTTGTGGATGTGGTTCCAATCCAGGGGCTGCTGTGTCCTGGATGGTGACAACCTTCTTGATGGTTGCTGGAGTTTCACTCATTCAGGTAAGTGGGGAGTATTCCATCACACTTCTGATATTGTCCAAATTTTGCTGTATTTTGACATGGACTGCTTCAGCATCTGAGGAGTCACGGATGGTGCTGAACATGGTGCAATCATCTGCCAACATGCCCACTCTGACCTAATGATGGAGGGAAGGTCATGACTGTTGCATTAAGGCAGCGTTTTGTATGGCTTAAGAATTGATCAGCAGGCAACTTATTCTGTTTGGCACAATAGTAGTAAAGATAAAATTATTTTAATGTTTTAGAAAAGCAGCCAATAGTAGTGAGATTTTCCTGCCTAAGGTTTGTGTGACCATCATTACCATTTATTCTTTTCTTGTAATTTATTTTCCACTGTTCAAAGTTCAGTAAACCATGATATTATTGTGGCAGCTAGAACACAGATCCATTTGAACACGTCCAGTTCAGCTACAGGATGAAGTATGAACAAAGCAAACTTCCCACCGCCATATCACCTTACACCCACCCGCCCCCCCCGCTCCCCCCCCCCCACAGTGCCCTCTCCATTGAACGCTGAGACCAGTTTACAGCACCTGCTTGATAGCAAAATGACATGCAATTATACAGTGTGATGCCAGATCTCTGAAACATCAAAAATCATTTCACATGATTATTAACTTTGAAGTGTGGTCATTGATTATCTCAGAGGTCAGCAAGATCCAACAAATAACTACGAGATGAAAGACACATTCATCTGTATTGACAGAGCAAAGTATATTAACCAGGATAACTCCTTGGCATAAGCAGATATTTGGAACCAACTAAGAATCTAATTCAAAGAATTACACCTCCAACAAGGCAGCACTTTTTCTGATGCGCTAAGGGACATTTTCCATCGAATTTAAAGGTCCTATGTAAATGTATCAATTAGATTATGGAGTGCTGTTCTGTGACCTTAGAGCCGACAACTTACCGTCTCAGAGATAAAATTACTACTTACTGAGTCAAGAAACATTTGAATATCAGGTAAATCTCATTCCATACTGTGTGAATAACATGCCTTACAGCAAATTTCACCTGGTAACATTTTCCTTTCTTGCATCAGTTTTCTTTGAGAACTTTCTGAATGAAATTACCAATTTTCTGGCCTACTTTACAGTGTTACAGTGTACCTGGTTCCTCACAATAACACAATTGTCTATGAAATTGTTCCCCTCTCCCTGTAACCTCACGGTGTGGAGCTCAGAACTCCTACACCAAATAAATCTCTCTCTTCTACAGTTTTCTTCTAAAATTAAATGCAAATTCAGTGCACCCAGATTCATTTCAACTGTTGCCTATTCTTTTCCACCTTGCTGTGGAGTTTTTTTTGCATAATTGGCTCTGGCACATGAACTGGTTTTGCAATTTAAAAAAACACTGACTTGCCCCTTTTTAATTTTTTAATTTTACCTGTCTCTTGATCTTTTGTAGGCAGCATTAACAAGATCAAGTGCTTGCTGAAATGCATCATTGACAAGTCCACTCCCTCGCTGAGTCATCAATCCTGCAAGATCAGAAAAGAATTGCACATGTTTTAAAGAGTGAAGCAATAGATTTAATAGTATTAATTTTGGAGAAACTGTAGATTAACATTAGTTATTTTTAAAATCCTATTTAGTTCCATATATTCTATTTCTGGGAAGCTATCCTTAGACACTGTAGAGCATCCTGAAATGGAAATGTGATCTTCAATTAAATTCTCAGCTGACAATGCATTGCCTCTGCTTTAGCCTGAGCAGGAATGTTGTCAATTTTTCTATGTCAGCGATACTGAATTAAACTGTGTAAAAATCTCAAGTGTTTCTGGAGGCTGAGTTGTAAAGCCAGTGGGAACTGAGGTTTGTGAACCAGAAAGCCACAAGCTTGATTATGGTATCTGCATTGAGTTGGCCAATATCAACCGGGGCTCAAGTTAAGTGTGTAACAAAGGTTTCTGCCTTCAAAGTGAAAGAAAGTGAACCAGAGATTCCAGACTGTTCACTGCCCCGTAGATTCACCTTTCCCTTTGATGGAGGCAGAAATGGGTTATACAGTGCTTTGATACTCCACTACTGGTTGCTACAACTCACTGTCACAGCAGCAGAATGTCTAGGCCCGAAACGTCAGCCTCTCTGCTCCTATGATGCTGCTTGGCCTGCTGTGTTCATCCAGCCCTGCACCTTGTTGTCTCGGATTCTCCAGCATCTGCAGTTCCTACTATCACTGTCACAGCTGTTATTTTCAGAATGGCTGCTGAAGATTGGAAAAGTCTTCATAGGGTCAAAAGATACAAAAAAGGAGGTATAAACAAGAATGTTTGGAGTGCTGAAAATTGATGGATGCATCTTAGATTATAGAGATAAGTAGGGGAAGAAATATTAGAGGCTTTAAGTATAATCTTTGAATCTCTCGTGGATTCAGGGCTGCTATGAGAGGACTATAGGACAGTAAAAGCTATATTTCTGTTCAAAGAAGGGGAGAGAGAAAAGCCAAGCTAATACTGGCCAGTCGACCTAATGTTGGTGACAGGGCAACCTTTTGAGACTGCATGGTGTTATCTGAGGCTGGGGAGCTGCACTGTTTGATTGTTTTAGTCCCTCTCAACCACTGAAATTAGCAAATATTAAATTTAACCCAGTTCTGAAGAAGGGTCACTGGCCTTAAAACTTTACCCTTATTTTCTCTTCAGTGCAGCTCCCCAGCCTCAGATAAACCATGTAGTCTCAAAAGGTTTCCCTGTCACCAACATTAGGACGACTGTCCAGTATTAGCTTGGCTTTTCTCTCTCCCGTTCTTTGAACAGAAATATAGCTTTTACAGTCCTATAGTCCTCTCATAGCAGCCCTGAATCCAAGAGAGATTCAAAGATTATACTTAAAGCCTCTTCAAAGGTACTATCAGGCCTGCTGAATTTCTCCAACAATTTCTGTTTTTGTTTGCTTTAGATCTTCAGCACCTGCAGTTCTTTGTTTTATTAAATTTAATGTGATTGGTGATGTAAGTATTTATATGGATCTCAGACTGTGTCAGATTCAGTAGTTGGAACGAGTCAACCAGGTTTTTTAGTCAATAGCAAATAATTGAATTATTCAGTTCCTACCAAAGTGAAGAACCTTACACTCAGTTACGTTGTTTTCCATCTGCCATGCTCTGGCCCAGTTACTCAGCCTGAATAAATCCCCTTGAAGTCTCTTTGCATGCTTCACACAAGTCACATTCCCATTAAGTTTTGTATAATTCTCAAACTTGGAAATATAACTGGCCTCACATCCAAATAATAGTTTGTGAAAAACCAGTCCAAGTACTCATCCTTGTGGAAACCCACTGGTCATATTCTACCAACCTCTGAATAATCCATTTATCCCCCCTCTCTGCTTTCGGCCTGTTAATGAATCCTCAATACGTGTTAGTATATTACCTCCAAACCCTTGGGCTTTAATTTTGTTTACTACCTTCCTCTTTGGGATTTTATCAAAAGCCTTCTGAAAATTCAATTACATCACATCCACTGGATGGAGGCTGCCTCCTCCCCAACATCCTTATCCTCCTCCTCCTCATCATCCTTGGAAGAATGCTCCCATTCCCTCCTTCCTGTGCATCCACAAAATGCCCCATTGCCTGTTCCAGTTGTGCAGAGTACAGCATGCCAGGATGATGTCGCACACTCCATCTGGACTTGGCCAAGAGCAGAACTGTACCTTCAGCAGCAATACATTCTGCTCCCTCATGGACCTAGATGAAGCGTGGGCTGCATTAAACCTGGGGGAGATGGCGTGCAATGGCGTCATGATTGCAGTGGTAGCCTTTTTTCCCCAGTATCCAGCCTTGTAAGGCACCTACATGCTCAATCACAGCAGGTACATCAAACTGCTCCAGGATGTCGCAGATATGACAGTTGCCAGGTTAGGAGGCATACATCTTTGGGAAGTGGGAACAGCGATCACCCTGACGTTAATTAAATGGAACCCGTTCCTTCGGAATTCCACAACACTGTAGCCTGGACCTCTCAGTGTGATGTGTGTGTAGATCCCTCCCAGTGACACATGTCACAGCCAAAGGTGGCCCACACATGAGGGAAGCCAGCAGTGTTAGCAAATCCTACTGCCCTCATCATGGAGGATCAAAATGAGTGGCTGTGACCTTTCACAGCCAGCCTTGGTTACTGCCCAGATGTATTTGTGGGAGTATGACCGAGAGGTCCCACTATGATCAGCTGTCACACCTGAAAGGAACCAGTTGCACAGATGTTGTGAGTGGTTGTCATCTTCACAGCTTTTGGGAGAAGGTGGCCTTGCATTCTTGCAGCTCTCAGGTCCCGCTCCAGCAGTTTCATCACAGTGTCCTGGGACATGCAGACCCTCTACACTCTGCCTCATTCGTCCCCCAGGAAATGGAGTTGGGGCTGGAGCCAGAAAGCTCTCGGTCTCTTACATATCCCATGCACTCTGAGGGGCCCTATGGCTGTGGCTTCTCCATGAACTGGGTTTCCCTTGTCCTCTGTGGCAGCCTGCTGCTTCTTCTGGTCTTCCTGTATGCACCTTCACCTTCTTAGGAAGGCAGGCGTAGGGAGAAACATCCCACCAACGACACAGTGCAGGGCTCCTGGTGGAAATGACCTTCATTGAAAACAGAAAGTGTGGAAGAGGTTCTTGGATCTCAGTTGGGTGATCAGAAGCATACCCTGCAAATAAAGATTGAGAATACTTTTCCATATGGTGAGACATGCAGCAGACTGATTACGAAGACCATGTCTCCATTGTTCATCCAGCTTCAGCCTCAGCATGTGCAGCAACTTGAAAGAGCTACACCGGACGAGTGACCACCATATTTCCTCATTTAAGGGACTGCTTGCTCTGCTCTGAGACCCTTCTTATCTCCAAATGATATCGACTGCTCAATTTCTCCCTGCATTCAGTATGGACCATCATTACACTTATGTGACAAATAATGAAACAATGGTGTGGGGCTCATACAATACCCTTGGAATTTGCACAAATAATGATGCACCTATGGCCAGCATTGGTCTTTTTTAATTTCATTGTTGCTAACTTCACCCAAGTTCAACTTGCAAGAAATTAAAGGCATGTTGCAAATTGCCTTTGACCAGCATCTGACGCCTAAGTATCTTCACTCTACATGCACAATTAATGGGTGATGAAGTGATTGCAAATTAAATGTAGTTGGAGTTTTGCAAGTGGCTGCCTCTTGTATTTGTATCTTCAATGTCCTAGAGTCCAACAAACATGGTTCCACACTTTCACCCAACAAACTGACTCTGATTATACCCAGCCATTTTCTGGTAGCACTTTGCACCTACAGAATGGAAAGTTATGGCAGGGAATGTTGCTTGGGGTGGACACTGTCAGCACTAGGCTCTGCCTGGTCGTGAGGTACCAGCCCAAACCCTCCATGTTTTCTTTTAGCTCATAATAACCTGACAGCCCTTTTCTATCCATCCTGTCCATTTGGATTCCCACCACATCAAACATTGCCACCAATTGTCCTCCCTGCCCCTTCAACACCTTAATGATGCCTACTCTGCTCCTCAACACTCCTTCTGTGGAGGTCATGTTGGTGGTAACTGCCAATTATCACCCCTCCCATAGCTTACTATTCCCTCTGAAGCTGTTCTCCCTTAAACCCCATTCACCTTGAATTCTCCCTCATTATCATCCTTGTCCTTACCTCCACAAACACCTCGGATTCCACACCCCACAACCTGATTCCCCATCCCTCCTGACAGTAATTCTCCTCACTGGCCCTTTGGCCCCCTCCGAACCTTCCTGCAAGATCAATGGAAGGACAGCCAGGACTGAATTCACTCAAGACCTCTGGACAACTTTGAGCAGCCCTTAGACATGACTGGCCAGACCCCTGACTAATGTCTTTGTAGCTCCTAGACTGACGATACATGATTCAGACACCATAGTGCTAGAGTTATTTTGCTCATTCACAATGCAGTCCTTGTTCTCATCCAAACAGGCAGAAAGTGTCTTGTATCTGACGAATAAATGTAAGCGTAAAGGTTCCTTGTGGAGTCTACACCTGCCTAGCCTTGTCTATTAACCAATTCTAATGTCCCACTTGACCTAACGTAACTGTCTTCTGGGATAAACTGTCTGGGTAGCTCTCCTGCTCCTCATGCCCAGGAATATCTGCAGCTCTGAGTTCAATCTAACAATTGTCAGTTGAAGTTCCTCAAGGTGTTAACATTTAACTGTTGAAGATTGCAATTCACTTCACAAACTCTCACATGATAGAGTAATGCCACACTGCCTAAACTGCCATATCAATCTAACCTTATTTTTTTTATTTGATTCGTTACAAATTTAAAGTTAGAAAAGGTTACCATTTTTGGCTATTTAAGATAAGCTACTGGAGGAACTCAAAAAGAATAAAATGGAAAATGCTTTCTTTCTACTGAATTCCCATTTGCACCAAATTCCAGACTTTAATACACTGTCTACGAAGCTCTCTTGAGATGAAAACTCTCTGGGTAGCAAAATTGTCTATTGTGTATTAAATGCATGAGTTACAGTCTCATTTACCTTGTACTTTGGGATGCATTTCTGCTGATGTACATGTGGAGCTCAGGCAACTAAGCACGAACAGTAACTGGTGGGTTCCTGTGCTTAATACCTACATGTGGAAAAAAAACAGTTATCACCACACTGGCAATGTAATTTCATTGAATATTAGTCAATAAATAACAATGAATGAATTAGCAGGCTCATTTTTAAGCTAGATTGATTGCAATAGCTAAAATAGTGGCCAGTAAACAGTCCTATAAATAAGTAAACTATTTGTACAGTAACATTTCAAACAACAATATGTAGACTTCAGTGGATTTGTCGGCTGGTCTCTTAGTTTTTCAGTTATAAGTGATTTCAAACAGAACAGAACTGCACATGTAAGTGAGTCTTTAAGCATAACATCATTGGACCAATAGATTTAATTGTAGTCAGATCTAACAGCCTGGATTCTTATCCTTGAAGTAGGAATTGTGAATTCCCCATGTTGTGATCCTGTCTCCTCTCTGGCAGTGTGTGCAGACACAAACTTCACTATAGGGTAACAGAGATGGGTAGTAGACTCGCCAACTTTAAGGGCATTTAAATGGTCATTGGATAAACATATGGATGATAATGGAATAGTTTAGGTTAGATGGGCTTCAGATTGGTTTCACAGGTCGGCGCAACATCGAGGGCCGAAGGGCCTGTACTGCGCTGTAATGTTCTATGTTCTATGTTGGAGATGTGGCTGTCCCCTTTAGAAATAGGCCCAAGTTGCAAACAGAGGCAGTTGGAGGCTGAAGCTGGCAGTTTAGAAGGTCCATCTTCATTCACTGGGAAGCTGGTCCACTGCTTTATATGAGTGTGAGGTACCCTAGCTCTCACTCCACCCATCTCAACCCCTGGTTCCAGATTCAGTTACTGGATGGTTCATGGTTCCTCTGAGATGCTGTGAACTATGTCCAGTATCAAAATGGGCCTAATTCCATGAAATAGCAGTGGGGCCTAAAATTCCCACCCTGAAATGGTGTAGGTATGGGCAGAAGTGCTGCATGTGGGCTGGCTACCTGCTCCCTTATCTTCTGTCCTAAAAATGTGGATGGGGTTCTGCAGTTCCAGAATTGTATCCTAACGACGATTCTGAAATCTTGCCTGCCTCTATTCCAACAGAGATTCAAGTATGCAAATTCAACCCAATGTTATAAGACAGATCCCAAGCTGGGACAAGGAATGGTTGATCTTTTATTTGAAACCAGGACACTGAGATGCATTTTAAGTTCAAAACATTTGAGCAAGCCTGTATCCCCCTTATCCCCTAATGAGGTGGTATTCAATCTTTTCACAGCAAGGCAAGGCCAGTATTTATTGACTAAGCTCCAGAATTCTCTCTCTGAGTCTTGCCATCAATCTTCCTCTCTCTCCTCTTTAAAATGCTCCTTAAAATCTACCTCTTTGACTGAGTTAGTCTGGTCTATATGTCTGGCTTATGCTACATGGTAGGTGTTTAATAGCTTCTGAACAGACCAATTATAAACAACTAGTACAAAGTTTAATGTTAGAAAATAATCAGATGGCTCTAATAATTAAGTCAAATGAGGATCATCAGTTGTCATCCATAATCAACTGATTAATCAGTAATTGTTCCACTCTGAGCACCATAAAGAGGGCAGGTTGTACTCTGGCACAGTGGCTTCAGGTACTCCCACGATAAAAGGCTCAATCATGCCCTCAGCGTCAGGGTTGGCTGGTTCCTGAAGGACATGACTGCCAACCTGGCCTGAGTGAGGTAACCAACCTATGGAAGTAGCCTATTTGACGTCTGACCACATTAATCCGTTGCAGTCATGTCAGCCCATGATAGTATTTATAGGAGTTGATCACCTTACACTTCTTGTGGCAAGAGAAGTGTTGATTTGAATAATTTCCGCTGGATAGGGAATAGTTGGCTAATACATAATCCACATGTATTTTCATTTCAATTGACTATAGATAATACCTGTCAGTAAACATTTAAAATTATCCTGTGTCTGATTGGTCAAAGCATTTTCCATAGTGACACCACCACGATGCTAAGATAGATTGAGTTGCCTAGAACTGGGCTTCAATCACATGTCACTACAGTAAGTAAGCACAATGTCCATTCCTTCTCTCTTTCCTCACTCACCATTAAACAAGGAAACCAAGTCTGTTTCATTGGGGATTACAGAAGATGTGCCAGAAGCAGTAGCACACATAATACAGAATTTGACACCAACCTGGTGAAACTGCAACTCAAGGCTGCCCGTGATCTAAACACACAAATGTAGTAGTTTCTGCAGATAGCAAAGTAATCCATAGCCCGTTATTCAAAACAAAACTTTCTATTGCTCTGAACCTAACATGGTAGTGAAGAGATCTATCAGGTAGCTCAAGGAACAGCCCTGTTCTCACCATGGTGAATCTTGCATGTGAATGCAAGAATGCCCAGCATTTTCAGTAAAAGTGAAGCTTGATTTTCCTACTTGGCCTTTTGTTGAGGTCTCACTACCATAATTAGCACTGTCCATTCAATTTGGTTCAATATGCATAATATTAAGAGGAGACTGAGTGCAGTAAGGGGCAGATTATGCTCTCAGTGGGATTTGTGATGATAACATACCGATTATAAGACTGGAGACTGTTGTGTAAGAAAATTATTCTGAAAGAGTTCATGTATCTTGAGCTCCGCCCAGTAAGATGATGTTACACAGTCCCAGGCTGGAGAATCAGTTAGAGTCTTGGATAGTCTCCTATTGGAGATACACATCTTCTCTATCTCTTGTTAGTAATAGCTCCTATGGTAGGAGTTAATGTAACCTGCATATAGCTACTGTTAAGCATTAAACTACATCTTGTTGTACCTCTTCTGTGAGACTTATTTGTGGTCTGTCCTCTACCAAACTACAGAACAGACTCTTAGACTAGCATCAGCAGGAGGTTTGGTGGCAGCCACATCATATACCCAGGCATCACTAACAGTGCACATTCTAACAGTGACCTCTGACCCAGAATTAGCTTCCCCTTTAGAATTCAACTAGGTTTAGGAAGTAGCAAAGTTGAAGGGAAAGAAAAAGAAAAAAAACATTAGGATGGGGCACCAGAAAAGCAAAAATGGAAATGGGAGAGAGTAGGGCAAAAACTCAGCAAATGATAACAGGAACCAGTGAAGGAGAGGACATGATCTTTATGAAAAGGGAGAGAGAATATGAAAAGGAGAGAGACAGTGAACAAAATAAAGGGAAACAATTAGAACATGAAATAAAAAGAAAAGTAATGTGGACGAGGCAATGCCCACCATAGTCAAGGTGCTGGTCTTTGGAGGCTAACCGAAAGGAAAAGCCTTGATGAACAAAATGACTTCAATTACAATTTTAAAAATTACAAATATACAGAATATGCTAAGGGAGCATAGTGCTGCAACAGCTGATACTCTTACTCCAACCCATATCCTTCAAAACTCACTAGTGGGATTATTATCTCCCGGCTTTATAAATTGTTCCATGTTCCTATAATGAGGGCACATAGATGCAAAAGAAAGAGTTAATGACTGGGGAATACAGATCATTAAAAACTCACAAAAATGTGGTATTGTTACTGTCATAAAATTCTGGAAATGAGACAATGAACAGTTGAAAGTATTGACCTAGATTTTACAAATCAGTGCACTTGCATGATTTTGTATCCGAATGCCTACATAGTTGATTCCATTGCACACAGCTCTCTGCTTTGAGAACAAATTTGTAAAAGCTATCCATTATGACCCATCTTGTAATAGAAAAATAGCTGAGACAGAAAAAATGAAGAGATCTTAAACAGTGGTTAAAGAACAATGGTGTTAACACAGAACATTAAGTTAATAGAATGAAGAAGAAGGAAGTCAAGCTCAGATTGGAAGTCAGAATATGTATAGACAAAATAGAAGTTAAAACAAAGAGACAGACAAAGTAGGTCACCTGGTCAGAAGCCTGATCAACGTGAAAATGAAATAAAAAGATATAGAATTTGAAAGAACAAAATGCAGAACTTCAGTGAAAAGGAGAAAGAATATCTAAGTGAGGAGGCAGAAACTTTTGTCAAAGCTGTAACAAAAGAAAAGATAATTGAATAGAAAGATTAGGAACTAAGATGTCCATCACATAGTCAGGAGCAAAATTAAAGGATGTATTCGTTATTTAGTAGGTTGGCACAGAGGGACAGGGATGAGCTCCTTTTGCCAAAAGCAATGATATATACTCTTTACAGAAAGGGATGTCGGAGAATTTCATCGAGAATTTATTAAAGTGCTTCTCATGAATTTGATTATAAATTTTCAAAAGAAACATCCATTCTAAGTAAGAGAAGATTTCTTGATCTTTTCCAGCTTGTAACAAAGCAGGAAGGATGGCAAATTCATACAAGAAAGTGACTTATTAATAGCTCAGTGGATGAAATGTACACTTTAATGCAACACCTGAATCAACCCCAAAATGATTTCAATTAAAGAGGTACTTACTCATGAAACAATTATAATTGAGATTAAACTAAGTTCCAGCAATGTGAGTCATTGAGTACTGAGCAGGCCATTCTGAATACTGTATTCTAATGCTTTATTTCAGTGAGAAAGTCACCGACAATGAAAATCTAAAGAGTTGGCTAGTTCTTTGGAGTTAGGTGAAAGGAAAAGCTCAGTAATCAAGTAATTAAATAAGAACAGTAAGTAATACAGTTGATGATTCACTAGGAGAAAAGGTGAATGACTGTGGAAATTTAATGCACACATAGTGAAAGTATTAACAGACTAGTAATAGTTAATTAGCCCATATTGAAGCTTATAATGCATCATTGATGTTCCATTGAGTTACTTCAATAAAGATTCTTTTTTCATAGCTAAGTTCTCCAAGACAAAGACTACACAAATGTATCTAGTGCAGACATGAAAAGTTTGCACAAGCACATAACATGGTATCCTGTTCAGTTTTTTATAATTAGATGACATCTATGGGTTAAATATTGCTCAACAAAAGCTTTGTCAATGACCAGGCTATTGCTGCAGTTTTTTTTAAAATTGAGTTGATTTACATAGAATAATTTAAGAGGTGACAATGTATTTGAGATTTATTACAAGTAAAG